TGAATTTATCAGTTAAAAGACTGATATTATTGATTTGTACTTTTTAAAAACCTAACTATATATTCCGAATACAAAAGACATAAAATCACAGAAAGGTTGGAAAAGATAGAAGGGGAAAAAACATGAAAAATACTAACAGCCTCCAGTTCAAAAATGAATAGCTATATTAATGACAGAACAGATTTATATAAAAAGCATTACTTGGGAAAGAAAGGATGGCTACATGAATATGGATAATGCAATTCACCAAGAAGACAACAAATTTCAACTTCCAGGTAGTTAACAATATTGCATTAATTTTTAAAGAGTAAAATCTAATAGAAAGGTAAAAATATCTACCATGATCATAGATGAACATACTTCTCTTAATTACTGGCAGACCAAACAGATAAAAAAAATCACCACAGATAGAGAAGATCTGCGCAACACACTGTTAATAAAGTTGATTTAATGGATGTACTATAGAATACTGCCCATGACAAAGAAACATACGAAACATTTATAAAAATACACAAATACTTTCAAAGGATGAATATAACAGACAGCATGTTCTCTGACCACCATGCAATTTAAGTTAGAAGTCAAATTTAAAAGTTGTAAGAAAATAATTCCCATCCATTTCAAATTAAAAACACATTTCTGATAACTCATGGGTCAAAAAAAATCATCAATTTAAACCATCAGAAACTAAACATAGAAAAAAACACAACATATCAAAAGTTTAGGGATACAAATTGTTCTAGAGGGAAATTTAGTCTTAAAACACTATGTCAGAAAAGACCGAAAATAATGAGCTTATTTTCCAATTTAAGAGCTCAGAAAAAGAACAGAATAATCCAACAGAAGAGAGATAATAAAGAGTAGAAATCAAGGAAATAGAAAACTGCCATATAATAGAAAAAGGCTGAAAGTTGGTTTTTGAAGATTAGACAAACAAAACATGACGAGGTTCTGACAAGATTAAGAAAAAAAGAGAATACATAAACATTATTACTGACACTGCAGAGATTAAACAATAAAGAGATTATATACTTTATACCAATGCACTTAAAAACTTAGCTGAAATGGATTAATTCCTTTAAAAAAACCCCAAAACCAGAAAAAACTTACCAAACAAAACTGATTCAAGAAGAAAAGAAATCTTGAATACTCTCCTAACTATTAAAGACATTAAATCAGTACTTTAAAACCTTCCTACAAGGCCAGATGCCTTTTGCAGGTGGGTTCTATTAATTTATAAGGTATAGACCATTCTGGTATTATAATACACAAACTTCCAGAACAATACGAAAAACAGAGATTACTCCCTAACTTATCCCATGTGGCTGGTATAACCTTCATACCAAAACCAGGTAAGGACAGTACAAATAAAAGAAATCATAGGCAATCTTACATACGAACTTAGTCAGTGTTTATTCGTTAAAACAAATAAAAAGATAATCAATTAGGAGCAAGTTAGGTTTATCTCAATCAAAAGTAGCTTAATATAAGAAAAATACAGAAATATAATGTGCCACATTAGCAGATTAGAAAAGAAAAACAATTATGATCATCTCAGAAAAGCATCTGATAAAACTTGATATCCATTCATAGTTTAAAAGCCCTTGGAAAATGAGGAGAGGAAGGGAATTTCCTTAATCTGATGTAGGGTTCTATCAAAACCCCACAATTTCCGTGGGGATACGAATGTGCTTCTCCGTTATACTGAACAGAAAAAAATGCAAGTACAGACCTACTCGCTATTAATATTTCTGATCTACCACCAAGACTTACAGATTGCACCACATAAATACCTTTGGAGTCCATTCAGTTTTTTCCATCCTCAGTGGTACTGAGTATATGACATCCTAGTTTCTCCCTTGGATTCCTTCTGCAGGATACCAGAACATGCCATCCCCAAACATGCCTCTTTAACATAAGGATTGCTCTGAGCTGAAGGCAACTGAGTATCAGAAGTAAGAAAAGCTCTCTAGCCTGTTCCTCCCAAACGCTGCCTAAAAGCAGGACACAAATCTACAAAGGTAAAGGTGTCCCTGCTCTCCTCTCTACCCAAGAGGACAAAAGCTGATCACTGAAAATAACTTTAGGCCCTTAGCAGCCTGGAGAAGGCATCAGAGGAACTACATGACAAACCTGACTAACTAGGCTTGATGCACTCTCTCTCCCCCTCTCCGCCCATCCCCCCTCTATATATATCTTGCCTTTCCACAACTGGCCACCCCTAGAGATTCAAAGTCCTTTTCTTTTGTCTTGTCACTTCTCTAAATTATTTGCTACTCTCTGTTGGAGGTGCTATCTACACTGGATTTCTAAGCCACCTCTTTGAGAACTACTCATCTCCCAGGTATTTCCCTGCATGGATAAGGTATACATGTTAATAAGCTTATTTTTCTCTTGTTACTCTGCCTTTTGTTATAGGGGTCCATCCTAACTAAGAACTATGAAGAGTAGAGACAAAATGTTTTTTCACTCCTCTATTGTTCTCCCAATCCAAGAAGGCATCTCTGCCACCTCCCACCTTTCTACTCACCCTACAAATCCACAATTTCCTCACAGTAAGTAGCCGGAATGGAGATTTTTCAAACTGTAAAAGCAGCAATTTCACATAGAAATCACTGGCTCCTCACAGTCCACACGCCCTAGCATGGCTACAATGCCCTGCCTGACCATATACTCTCTACACTCCAGCCACACGACGCCTCTTTCAGTTCATAAAAAGCCTTCCGTGTTCTCGCTCACCCCCACGTCTTTGAATAGCCTGGAAGTCAAATCATCTACTGCTCCACCCCTATGGAGTAGAAGACCCCTCCTCTGTGCTCCCATGACACCCTCTTCTCCTTTCACCTGGCCATTTCCCCACAAGCCTATAAATCTGATGAAGGCAAACACCATATACCGCTCAGTGGACCCTTAAAACTTAGTACAATGCAAATCATTTTAAAAATAGATGAATGAACGATCAAGAGATCTAAGCAGTATCAGAAGTCCTTGCAATAAAGTTGTCAAGACTGAACTCAAAAGAGGACCTACGAGTGATTCAGAAGAAAAATTAAACCAGTGAGGGAGAAAGATAAGAAGGTTAGCTGGATGCCTCAAGTCAAGGAACAGAAATGGTACGAATAATAAAGACGAATTGGTGACAAATCCTTTCAGAAAAAGGCAAAGTATAAACATCCCTGTTGTGTCACCATTTATTAATTTTTAAAAGTACAAGTGATAAATACTTGAAAATTATTCTGTTAAATAACTTTGTAGATATGCAGACCCAGTTATTGCTTTGGTTAATATTTTTAAATTGCTCTGTAAGATGTGATTTTCAACTACGAAAGTATGTTTTTTTTATTGCTTTAAAAATATTTAAGTACTTTACTGACTCAAATGGAATCTAGGCAACTAATAATGATACTTACCATTGCTATATGGAAATGCACGTGCAGAACGACTATCATAACCAGAGGAATGTCCACTGTTGAAGGAAAAAATGTATTTTTATGTTTGCTGCAAATAAGTTCTGAATTTTAATAGTTTGGTACAAATGGAAAAACATGAAGGCAAAATTGTAACTTTTATTCAACCACCATGATTGATGATTCTGTAGTTTTTTTTAATACTAAAACATAGGCTTTTAAACTTCAAAAACATTAAATCTAACACCTAATTTTACACAAAAAATAGAACTTGATAGTGCCATTTAACACAAATAATCCAATCAATTCAGCTTGACTCACAGGTGAAATAGAAACATTTAAGCTAATAAAATATTTGAGATTTAAAATTCAGTCTTCAAAAGTTGTTTTAATAGTTATAAATCAATAATTCAGCCCCACTGACAGGATCAATAAATAATACTTTTTAAGATCTTTGATTGAGAAAACAAGTATGTGTTTAACAGGGACTTAACAATAGCTCTTATTAGTGATTTCTATCTGCCAAGAATTATGCTGATGCTTTATATTCACTAGCTTTTTAAATCTTCATAGCTCTATCAACCCTTTTGGTAAAAAAGGAAAGAGAATCTCAAAACGTTTATGAACCTTGTCTAGCAATACTGTGTGATGATTCCAAAGCCTACGCTGTTAAACACCATATTGCCACCCATGAGGGAAATATTCTTTAGCACAGCATTCTAGCTACCATAAACCATAAATACAGGGTATAAAAATAAGGATACTGCCATGCAGAATGGATGCACCAACCCTTCTCTGTGGAAGCTGCAATGCAGCAGGCTGTCAAGGAGTAAGAGCTTTTTTTCCACTATGGTCCCGTAATAGTTGTCCTTCCTTAATCCCCAAAGAGACATGCATTATTCATGATTTCCAGTAATTTATGTTTGTACTTTCCGCAGAACTGTAGCCCAGTTTTTAACAGTCTAGGGGTTTCTTTAATCAGTGTGTCATAAATCAAGATACTATTTCAAAATATTATGATTTAGTTTTCTTTGCTCTGCTTTGTCATCAGACTATAGGTCCAACAGCTTATATAAAAGCAACTGACATAGATCTAACTTTATGAATTAAAAGGCAGGTGCTATATTTATAAAATTAAATCTTTGAAAACATTACCAAGATATGTATATGTGACTCTTCTGCCAAAAGGCTACCAATGATCAAAAATTCACACTATCTATACTGATTTACCTTTCTATTGTTGGTATAAGAGATGGAGGTGGAGCGCCTGGTGGAGGAGGAAAACCTGAAACATTCAATCATAAGATAAAGAGAGTTAACAGAATGTACACTTAATGTCAAGAGTGAAACAAAGTTGCTGTGTATCACTAAATTTCTGTGGGGATGTGAATGTGTTTCTCTATGTTATAATGAACAGAAAAAAATGGAGCTCAAACTTATAAACAGATTTTTGGAGCAATAAAACTTTAAATAAACAGTCTGGTCTAACACACAGCACAAACTGCAGAGTCAGGACACCCGGTCTTATTTTCAGCACCACACACAGCCCATTTTGTGAGTATGAGAAAGTTAATCTCAATGCCTTACCTTTTCCATACATAAAACAGTAGTAGTATTGCCACCAGATATATCATACTTGAAGTATTTTAGAAGAAAAGCAAATAAAATAGCATTTACCTTTCAAAAAAATATTTTGAGAGTTTTAGATGTATAGAAATTTCCTTAAAATGTATAATTTATAAATAAAATCTTACCAGTAAATATATAAATGCTCAAGGCTGAGAATATCCACCATGAAATATATTTTAAATAGCACAACCCTAACGAACTATTTTACAAAGAAAGGCACATAATGTAGTTTTTGGATTAGTTTCAAAGGAAAATAATTTGTACCTTTATATCATGAGGTCTGCATTCTCAATAATTCACAATACTTAAATGAAATACCACAGAATAATATGGCTAAAAGGGAGCTTAACAGTTAATCTACTCTACACTTTCAAATTCATACAGGCAATAAAGCATCCCAACAAAAGACTTGAAGATTCCAACTTATGATATCAATTCCTTATGATACTAATTCCTTCCAAATTCACAAGCCTCACTACTAGGAAATGCATTAAATTATATAATTTGATCTCTCACAGTACAATTTGTACACTGTCCTGAATGAGGACAATAAGTATTCCACTCTCACATTCTCTATTATCTTCTAGTTATTTGAAAACACTTCCATTAAGCCACCTCTTTAGTATTCCAAATAAAAATGAATCTCAGTTCTCTGAACCCTTCTCAAAGGTCCATGTAAATTGATTTTTAGCCCTGCTTAAAACTACTTCAAGTTTACCAAGCTCTTCACTGTATCCAGTATTAGGATCTAACTCCTCTATTAAACATCCTGAAAGGACAGAGTTTAGCAATTACCATATTAGTGCTCGAGTCCACAATCCTATTTTACACAGCCTCACAACCACATTGCTTTTTAAACTAAAAAGACACACCAATAATTTCTTTGACTTTTCCTAAATCTTTTTCAGACACATTCGCACACCATGACTCCCTATCCCACATCTAAATACTAGCCTACTCTATCTACACTTCACTGTTTGATTATCAAGGTCGTTTTGAATTTAGACCCACCCTTCCAAGCATAGTCACCTCTCACTCTCTTCATACTCCTTGGCTTTTAATGCTAAACTCAGTAAACACACTTGCTATCAGGTTTGCTATTACACTATAAAAACAAACGACTGACAAAAATGTAAAAAAATCAGCACTAGGCCACATATAAACTTCTACTGATCATGCCGTTACAATAACGAACAATTAATCACCACTCTAAGAACAACCACCTGACTGTCAATCCACGTAACTGTTGTGTGGCTCAGAAGGTACTTTCTCATGATGTTGAACTATGCCAGCAAGGTGTAAAAAAAAATCATGAACCATAATAAAGTCAAGATAAATTAGCCTTCTCTTTCTTGTAATAACTTTATCATATAAAAAATTAATTGGTCTGAAAAGACATTTTTTATAAAAATTTTATTTTATATCCTATAGTTTTCTTCACAAATTGATATGGTGAGAATTTTCTCAGAACCTCTATTTCTACAGAAATGGGTAAGACAGGTATAAGAAAACTAAATATCTTAATCAAAACTGGAATGAAGCAAAGGCAGAGCTGAAAATAGGACCTTGAAATCCCAGTAGCCTACTCCACATTCTAACCGCCATCAACACTGTCCCTCCTGTAACTGTGAGCTTGCAACTTCATGTGTATTAACAATGATGGAGAAAACATGAAAAAAGTTTTACCTGGAGGTGGTACAGTTATTGGAATACCTAAAAAACAAGTGATGAAATTTAATATAGTAATTGGATTTCAGAACCTGTTATGTATTTATGCCATCACCAAAACAAACTTTGAAATAAAACCCCTCGCCTCATTATCCTGGCTTATTCACTCAACAGAAGCATTCTGTTTTCTTGCAGAGGACCAACAATTCCAGTATAACATCCAACTTCCCTGATGAAAACCCAGTCTCACAACTTGGTGACAACTATTTCCCCCGCTAGTTGTAATCACAAATGAAGTTAGACGTCAGTTAAAAAGCACACTTGTGCATACACAGACATCAAACTCCATGAAATTAATGCTAACTAAATTTGATCATCGATGTCTGATCTTGTCATTTTAATATTTTTAGTAGGGAAACTGATCCGTGAGCTCTTTCTATAACACTGCAGGTAGTACAGAATAACTCAAGATGATGATGGATGTTACTCACTTTTGTAAAGCTCAGTATATTGTGGGACATTCAAGTGTTGATTCAGATTGTTGTACTATTGGTGGCAGAAGTGAGGAAACGTTAATAAATATTTCCTTTGATTTGAAGGAGGAGAAAAGGGGGTAGAGTCAATTCACAATATACACCCCCAGGGCACATTAAAATAAATGTGAATGATTTACTGCTACAGGTATCAGCAAATACTAATTTGAGTGATTCTCACTCATTATTTGCATACATTATAACCTTTAAGAAATAAACTATGTACAAACATCCTCAATTTACACTGGCCAAATGTGCCCTTAAATCCTAATGTAAAATGTATTTGTTAAGTATTAAAATTAAATTCAGCATTTTAAATTTAAGAGATACATGAAAGGCAATTTATGTGGCATGCAAATACATTGTAACTACTTTCAGTTTAAGAAAAACGACGTTTCTGAGTAGGAAAATAGAAAAAAATTTAAAATATCTTCATTCATAAAAAGTCTTATACCATAAACTTTAGTTACATAAGTAACATCAACACAGCCAGAATGGTCTACTAAATCCTATCTTAAAAACTGCATCAAAATTAGTCCAAGAGGAAAAAATAATTCATTAACTAAATGCATGCAAAAAAAAAAATGAAAACAGAATGGCTTTCAAATGTTTTGTCAATGGAAACATCTGCTAATAATTTTTAATGTTGTGATGTACATGTTTTACCAGAATAAGAGATTTAAAAAAATGTTAAGGCAGGAAATGGCCTTAAAATAAAGACTGAAGCACCTGATTTAACCACATATACAATAAAAAGATATTCTAAACTTACAAAACCAACAAGACTAAAAAAGATATGTAAAGTAGCCAACGTGTTTCAAAAATCATTAGGCCTCTACAAGTCTACTACACTGACCCACAGTTAATAGCAATTCTTACCCATACTGAGGTTACTTTGCTGCTTCTCAATTTACTAAGCTAAAAGAATCCAGCAAACAATACAAGCTAGCAGAGTTCCAGACTCCAAACTAAATGGGAAAATTAAGGACAACAGAGCATTAAATGTTCTTAATATGTATTATTACCTAATTTTCTTTAGAACAGCATAGATTTTTTTTTTTTTTTAGACTACTGAACTTCACTATTTGATCTAGTTTTCATATTTAAATACATGATTCTTTTCTCAGGTATATAAAATAAAGAACTGTGCCAAAATCAACCACCCACTTTACATACTATAAGCCCAATAACTTTACCTAAATGAACATACGAGCAGCATGTATTTCAGCTAATGCTTACTACAGCTCACTAAAATGTAAATTCATGCAAAAAAAACTAAGGAACTAGTCAGCCCCTTCAAAATTTAGTACTCAAAAACAGTGAAGTTGTGAAACTTCAACAAAACATAAAGATAAAAGACATATGACCAAATTATTAAGGATACTACAAAGGTAGTTAAAATTACAGCCTGTCTTTAATGTTGATTTTACTACAGTAGTATCATAGGACAGACAAAAAACAATCAACTGGAATTAACACAATCAAAGAAAAAGTATGCTATATACAGTACGCCTTCCACATCACTACGTATCAGAAAGTTGGCATGGGAACTAGGAAGGGACCTTTCTGTGAGACCTCTATTTCGTCTATTATTTCAGTGCAAATCTTTACGAGTAAAATGTTCACTGAAACAGAACTACAAAGCTGATGAAACACTATACAACCGATTCTTTGACAATTATCAAATGTTATTTTCAAATGGCAATTAATAAAGTTCAATATGTGATATCAGGTAAGGCTGACATCATTCTCATCTAAAAAATCACTATTTAGTATTTGACTTGTGTTAACAAAAGAGAAATAGGGTAAGGGAAGAGAAAATTTGTCTCAAAAATCCCTGTCCTTTCTCCACTCAACACCTCCACCTTCCTGGCTAACACACACACTGCCTAACCTAGCCATTGAACTTGAAACATACAAAAAGTATTGTGTTACTTGCCTATCCTTTATCTGTAAAATGAATAGAAAAAAATATTTTCCTGGAAAGCCATACATAATAGTAGTAAAACTAAGATTTCTAGTATTGGCCAACAATGTTTGGAAAAGTAATATTCGGGCTCTCACAGACTCAATAGGTTAGTGGTATTAAAATGAGCATGTATCAGAATCACCTGGAGAGTCTGTTAAAACACAGATAGCTGGGCCTATTCCCTAGAATTTCTGATTCAGAAGATCTGGAATGGGGCCAGAAAATTTGTATTCCCCCAAATTTTCCAAGAGATAATGTTGCTGGCCTGGGACCATACCATGAGGATCACTAGATTAGATTCTAAACCTTCCTCCAAATTTCACTGCTGAGCAACTCAATACAGATGAAATCAATCCCATTCCAAATTTTTATGAAACAAACAAAAGCATCTACATGTGACACTTAAAGTAAAATAGTATAACAAGCCTACACTATTTGGAATTCTCAAAAGAGAACAGGATTTAATTTTTCCAGTTTGTAATGCATATTCTCAAATATAAAAGGAGGTTTAAGGGAGACCTAAAATCCTATTTGGGAGTTGGAAGGAACTGAGACAGAAACAGAAAGGCAGCATTTCTACCAAACATCATATTAAAAAGAATTCGCCTATATTAAAAACACCCACAAAATTAACAGTAGGCTCTGAACTTAAAAAACTAAACAAAGATTGATACATTTTCAATGTATTCCATCATCATTTTGTATAATTAAGGCAAAATAGACAGCTTCCAACTATCCTGGCTCTCAATGATCCCTACCCTTCTGGTATTTATGTCCTATCTTGGGTGTGGGTAGGACGTTAGGACTTATTTCTAACACGCAAAACAGATTTATTAATAAAAATGACAGGATGTCACTTCCATGGCTAGGTTACAAAAGACAGGATTTCTATTTTGCTGGCAGCCTCTCTATTGCCTTCTTGGCTTGCATGCTTTGATGAAGCAAGCAGCCACGCTGGAGAGGACCACAACCAGGGAGGAACTGAAGCCCTCTCAGTCCAACAGCCAGGAAAGAAATGGATCTTTTGTTTTTCATTTTTAGTTTCCCATTGGCCAAACCCAGGAACTAAATCCTTGTAATAAAGAGTGGAGTGAGCTTGGAGACGAATACTTCCTCAGTCAAGCCTTTAGAGATGACTATGAAATCTGAGAGAGACATTGAAGCAAAGGACCCAGATCCCTGACCCACAAAAAACTGTTCAATAATAAATGTAAGCTGTTTTAAGACACTACATTCTGGAGTGATTTGTTACATAGCAACAGAAAACCAATACATGCAATAACCACCTATCTTTTCTCTATTAAGTTCAAATGAAAGAAAAAAACAGGGCAGAATTATGTAAACTATGCTTCCTATTTCTCACAATTTCAAATACTATCAGCACTATTATGTAAGAAATAGATAAACCTGATCACTTTCTTAAGTCTCACCAATTTGCACTTCAAAGTCATCAAACTCAGAAGTAAGTTTTACACAAAGAAATTGAGTACGAAAAATCCAGGTTTACAAAAATCTTTAAATATCACCTTCTACCAGAAATGCTTTTCTATAGATCAGGATTTTTTAAAATTATATACACACAAAAACATCATCTACCATGAACCCTTTTTTTTTTTTTTGAACAAAAAGCAGAATGTAGAATACTGTAAAACCATTTCTTAATAATCAAAACAATTAATTACAACAAGGTACAAAAAAAGGATGGAAGTAATTTTAAGGAAAAATAGTGTTAAAAAGCGCTTTGGTCATGAAACAAAGCAACCAAAATGTTACCAGCATACTTCATATCTAAAAGGTTAAAATATTAATTTTATATTAACTATAAACCAGTATGTAATAAATATAGCTTAAGAAGAAAAAACAAAGAACCAAAGTCACAAGATGCACATTGAGATCCAGCATTATTAGATTTATTATGACTTATTTTACAAGCCACTAAAACTGGCAGATGTGATGTTTGAAAAATATTTCATCTGATGACGACATTCTAAGTTCAAATCCTTTAGTCTCAAATTATGCATCCCAAGACACAAAGAAAGCCTTAGTTCAGATGTTCTTACTCTGAGATCGCAGCAAAAGACTCCATGAATAAAATTCAGGGAACTCAAAATTTGGGTTGGGGGGACCCACGGGGGAATCATGTATTTATCTTCAGTATCCTCTAACTAAAATTTAACACTTCCTTCAATTATGAATGTTGGCACAAAACCACAGAATCACAGTACTTGTAATTTTGACATCAATATAAATCAGATATTTTCATATCACATTAGGTTGTTGCAGATCTTTAAATATCATCCTACACTCATTACTGTGAAATTTAGACGTGTTACTAGAACTTGTTACTTATTATGTTAAGAAGCACATATGAGTTTTAACATTTTGCTAACTGCATTTCAAAATAATTGGTTTCCCTTTACAATCTTATGTATTTTATGCATTTTTAAACATCCTGAAACATAAGAGATCCATAGGTTTCAGACTGCCACAAGAGTCTGTGGTATAGAAAATGTGAAGAATCCCCACCTTAGTTCAAATGCCCC